TCTCTGGTATGTTAGTACCCTGCTTAATGCTGTGACTGTCTGACTCGGTTTGAGTAAGCTCCTGCCTGGTGTCCCCAGTGACCTCTTGCAGTCAGGGTAGCCTTTCCTGGGGTCTTCGAAGAGAGAGCTAGCATGATTTTTCTTCTTTTAAAAGATATATTTATTCTCATCCTTTCTTGTGTGGAAGAAGAGATTTCTTAAAGGTTGCAGACTATTATCTTTTCCCTGCCTAGGAATTCTGAAAGAACAGCTTGTACATCCTGACTTAATTGTGCCTTTTTTTTTTTTGTCTTTAAAGGGTTATAAGCTTTCTTCAGAATCCTTTAAGCTTACACCATATTCATTTGAAATATGCAAGTATATAAAAAGGGGACCAGAGTATTAGTGCTTTGGCTTATATTTTAAATCTCCTTTAGAAGGAAAAGAATATTTGTATCCTTTAGAAGGGAAAGAACCTCATATCTCATCAATTGTGCTATAGTCTCCATCTCAGCTATTAGATTTGAAATAGAAATTCTAGCTTGTGCATTCCCAGCTGCCTTTTGATCAGCAGATTTAASAGAGGGATAATATGTTAACTAGAAAATTGGCAAAGCCAGAATTCCYGTCTAAGTAGCAGTTGTCAGTTCTTCGTGTGCAACATGGACTGAATACRAATATGCTTGAGTTATTTAGCCACTGGGAATTGGTATTTGAAAACCAATAATAGAGTTGTGAGCTGCTGTTTAAAGTCCCCTCTTTGTAGGATTCATCATAGCTGCCTGCTAGATTATGTGAAAGAGATCGTTTAAGCCCTTTCCTAATGTACGTTTGTGCTGTGTTGCTTGACCTCTCTAGCCCAGCAGCAGATGAAGCCGTGACTGAAATGACTGGAGAGATTTATCCCCTGAGCTTTGGAGGCTGGATTTCTAAAATTCTCTATTGCCAACTGCATTGTGTCAGTGGTAGGGTTGTGCTTAATCTAGATATGGAGATGTTCGGTGTTCAGTTTGGTTTGTTTCATCAGCTCTGGACTCCAAAAGAAAATTAGGCTCTTCATTTATGAGCACCCTGCAAACTAATTATTACAGAACGTGCATTTCCTTCGCTAATGTAAGCGAGCTGCACTGGGTTCCACCCTAGTGACTAATGCTATCGTGTGGTGCCTTCGCACGGTAATGAAGAGCAACTTGAAAAAGAAGTATGAGAGGCTCTTGTAGTGGAGAAAGGCGTTTATACAAATAATCATTAGTAGTCTGAATAAGATTGTCTGTAGGGGCAAAAAGAATTGAAAGGCTTTATGATGCGTGTAGTCTGAGAAAAGAGTATATATGTTATCTTTTAGTTATTAGGTGACCACAGGCAGTTTATTGGCAATCTCTTTATTTGACTTCTCAGTAGGAAAATGCTGAAAGGTATCGATTTCATTTTGCTTGCTGTGTCCACAGCAGTGTTAAGATGTGTTTTTTTTCTAATTGTGSTTTTCAGTAAATGTATTTATGTTCCTTATTAGGAGGGATGAGGAATGAGTAAATTAATGTACCCCCTAAGGCAAGTATCAGCTGAGCTTTACAAACAAATGGTTGGAGGAACAGAGGTGGTGCAAAACAGTGTTTCAGTTGGAGGCTGGTGTGCCGTAGGGATTTGAGGGGCAATTTTCCACAGTATTATATGCAGCTAAGACTTGTCAAATCAGTTATTAATCAATCTGTATTGTTTAAACAACCAATATCCAGATAATCATTTTAATTTGTAAAGATTTGTATGTGTGATTGTGTGGGGAAATACTTCAGGACTCTCACATCTGATAAGTCTCCTGCTGTGTTAAAACAAGCACAAATGATTGGGTRTGAAATGTTCAGTAGTGTTGAGAGTTGGAAAAGCAAATTCTTTAGGCCACAGAACTGTCTGTGAAAGAACAACTGTCCTGTTCTAGAGCAGAGTTTGGGGATCTGCAGKTACAGGCTTCCTTCTTGTTTGATTTCTGCCAACTTGCCAGAAATTCTTTTAATGGCTTGTAAAAAGTCTCTAAATTAATTAATATTTCTAGACCAATGAGTGTCTGATCTTAGTGATATGATTTCTTTAAAAAACAAATCCAGATAAAAATAGTAAAAGGAAAAAAGTTTATTGCTTTTAAGTGTCCATTTTTGCTTTATTTGTGTGCAAAGTGGATAGCAAATTCAAGCATGGACATTAATGCTTTTATATTTTATATAAAAATTATTTCATAGTTTCTTCCTGAAGATTTTCAACTGSAAAAGTAAATACAGTCAACCAAATGTGTGTTCCTTTGTTTTTGGGATGTGCTCAGAATAAAGTGGTATTGGGCAGATAAGAAAGTTCCTCTCTAGCTGCTCTTTCCCCCGCCAAGGAAGGCAGCAGTTGAAACAAGCCAGTACAAAGCGYAGAAAGTTGGCTGTATTCTGAAGAGGTTGTACTTACTAATGGAAAGGTCTTCCTTCTTTCCTAGTCTTCAAATTGAGAGGAATTTTGCATCGGTCTTACTCCAAGCCCTTTTTGAGGCATATTCCTCCTCCTTTTAAATTACAAACATAATTTAATGTTATTAAGGAATTGATGCTTCTGTCGTTAACACGCAGCACTGGATTTGTTTTCTAAATGAAGTTTCATTGAATTAGCCGTGCTGGTTAAAAGGGGTAGAGAGGACTGATTCTCAAGCAATAGGGAAGGTGAATATAACGATTTAGTTATGAAATATGCAACTCATAATATTTCTGCTTACGAGGCAGCAGGAAGTGCTTTTTATTTTATTTTTTTCTTCACTGTAATCATCATCTATCTACTGAGATAGATTAGTACAATGTTAACAGTCCTGTGTCGYTACTGGTGGTGAGAAAAAGCTGTAGGCAGAGCTATTAGATGGTCCTGGGGCTGTTGCATCCAGCTACTCACTCCAGTCTAGTTCCAGAATGAAAGAAAGGCCACGAGTTGCCGAAGCTGAGTCAAACTTGCTAAGATTTTCTGAGAAAAGGGGGCTAATGCATTTCTGAAGGCTTCTCTTGCACACAGAATGAGCAACTGTTTGAAACACTTGGAACTATGAATAGCCAGTGCTTGCATTCGTTACTGGTGCTGTTGAAGAAATGGCTAATATGCAGGAAAAAATTATATAGGTGGGTAAGAACGAAAATAGCATATGCCAAAATTGCAAATTTAAAAGAACTTCAAATAGTAATTTAGAAAGTTCTTTGAATAAATACAGATTCATAAATGCAGAAGAAAAAATGTAGGGTTTTGGAGTAAGATGAAAAGCTGAGTGGGAGTGGTTTAAAAGGGGAGACTGAAGGGCAGCAGTGCTGGAGGGCCAGACTTGAGAGGATGCAGTGAAATCCTTGGGACAGCTCTGGGTTTGGSTTTGTAAAATACAGTTCTGCTCTAGTTTTGTTGCTGGAAGAGCTGGATCACTGCAGGCAAATGGTTTAGCCTTGAACCTTGCTCCTCACACCTGCGAAACAGGCATAGATTTTATTTCTTGCTAAATGCCTCAAATTACCCTTGCGGGAGAGCTAGGGTGGTGCTATGTGGAGCTTCAGCAAAATGACTTTCTGCTCTGCAGAAAGTTTGAAGGTTCAGGGGGGGAAGTGTGTGCACTGACACTCGCTTCCTGGCCCTGTGAATGCCCTGTAGCCTTTCAGATTTCATCTGGGGCTGTGTCTTTAAACGGTTGGGGTGTTCTTAAACAGTTGGGGTGGTTTTTACCGCTTTCATTCTGCTTGAGCCTGAAACTGTAGCTCACTCTGTGAATGCTCTTATCTTTGGGTAGCTGGCAATTGTGTTTCCCTGTGAGAGATTCAGGGCTTTCTGGGTTTTGTTCTGTGGCTTCCTGACTGAAAGATCATGGTGTCTGTAGTGCAGAGCAGGTTTTCAGTCTAGCCATGTGCCCAAATGTGTCTGCAGTGAACATTAACTCCTATTGCATGATTGCTGTGCCAAGGGAGTAGATAGAATTTCTGCTTTAAAGCAGACTTATTCATAGTGTGTCCTTTTTTTCCTTCTCTCCACTTAGTGAAGAATTGCAAACTTTAACATGGAAATAATTGGAATTATGCGTATAGGGTTCATTTTATGATGCTTAAGGACCTGCTGAATATCTTGTTGCCTRTAACTGATTGCTTCTGCTTGTCAGGGAGGACTAATGCCTGTGATAAAGAAGGGCTTTCTGAAGCGGTCTTTAAAAGCAAGTTTACAAACTGAAAGATGTGGCCAAGAGACTTGGGAGCTGCTCTCCTTTGCTTCCCAAAGGGTTGTGGGCTATTGGCAAATGCTCGTACGTTAACTACCTTGTTTAACTGACATAGTAACTTTTTTCCTGGAGCTCGTTGCTTCCTTTTCTTAAATCCACCGTGCTCTGACTGAAGAGCTTAAGCAGTCCCAAGCACTGGCCTTAACCAGTGGCCCGTGCTGCCTGAGAACCAAAATCGGGAAATTGCCAGGAGGGAGTTTGTTTCAGCCCTGGACTCGGCTGCCTCCAGGTAGCACAGGCTGCTTTGAAACTTTCTTATCTATAGTTCGACCCTTCATATTCCAGTTTTGCAGTGAACCAACTATTATAGCTTAGGGCAAATTCAGTTTGACTTTTCTGCGCAAAGCTAGATTCTTCCCTTGTTAGACAAGCCCACTAAAGACACATTAATTTCTTGTGACCCAAATGAGTTAAATGAGGTGTGTTTGGTTTTGGCACCACAACTTTGTCTCCTGCTGGTTTTGACTTTGTTTATACCAGACAATGACTCTTAGATTACTGTATTTTATAGAGCAGGACTTGATCTTTATTTTCAGTGTTAGTCTTTTCTTAACAGACCTTTTGAAGAAGCAATTAAGGTCTAACACCTGAGGTATAAACCTCCCCTTTGACAGTTTTGTGTTCTTTGTGCTCCATTATGTGCTTGTTCTGCATTTAATTAGACTAAGTGGAACTGATTTTTATTTGAAGCATGACTTCTGGTAGCAGAATTGGTGTTAACTACTCATATTATTTCTCTTCTAGATCATCTTTTTAACAACCTCATTCAGGCCTATTTGGGAAGGAAAAAGCATGAAAGCAGGCTTATCTGGAGATGAAATGAGATTGCAGTAAGGTCTAGGTAAGAACCAATGGGGTGTTATTTTAGCATCTTATTGCATTTCTAGATTTTCAGTTTGGTTTCCTGGTTTTGTTGTGTTAGCCTGGGAAGGAACGCAGTATTGCCAAGACCTCAGCTCACTGACCTTGTAAAAAAAGTGAATTGTAAAAAGTGAGTTTTCACCTTTAGTGGTCAGTTTTTCATCAGCTGTCAGTTTCATTCACCAGTGCAGCAAAGCTGGCAATCTCTTCAGCTGGATATTTCTGTCTATGCTTTTTTGCCCCCAGTCTCAGCTTTACAACTAAGGTTGGATAATGATAATGACATTACTTCTAGGCTGGTAGATATGAGTTTAGGATAAAAAGAGCTGGCACTGAAAGTTGAGACAGTGCCAGTGACATCTTGATTGCTGGCCAAAGCGCTTAAAACTCTCCAAAGGTCAGGAGTGTATGGAGATCTTTTCACATCTATAGTACCTAAAACAGAGCTCTGATCTCCTTTCCTAAGTTTGATTTGTCTATGTCTTGACAGTAGTAAAAAAGGTAGATCATGAATATCAGGAAACTTTGTTTCAGATGTTTAACCCATTTTTATAAATACTCCCTTTACACAAAAATTTTTGATAAGAAAAACTTTCTTGGTAGCCTATGATCAGCTCTTGGGCACTTCAGTAATAAGTTTTGAAACCTCATATGTCTCAAAGTACTCTCTGGATTAAGTGAATTTAACAAAAATTTACATTCTTGAAATTTTTCTCTCCTATTTAAGAGAAAGGAGGTATGTTACCAAATAACTAAAGCTGTTGCTGGTAGCCTTATGTGTACTTGAACTGATTTTATTTGCATTGGGTCCAGGCAGGATTTTGAAGCAGTAGGTCCCATGCTTAGTTGTAAATTTTAGCCTACAGGGCTGAGAGCTGCRTGTAGGTGGAGGGTTAAAGACTGCATTTTCTGTCATGAMTATATTGAGTTTTGCTGGGAAAACMCTAAGCCTGTGGTGAGGGTGATGTGCATGTGATGGGCAGATGGGTGAATTTACAGCAGTTTAACACTCCATTATTCCTGCAGGGCACAGTACACCTATTTTTGGCTGAGTTTGGGTATATGAAATGGTAGCTGATGTTTGGCCTGCTAGCAAATTTTAGTCTTCTGTTTTAACTTCAGTTCAGTTCAGTTATCTTACACAGTAAGACTTATATTTTCTCTTTGCTCAAAGAACGTTAGAARAAAGGTCAAAACTGCAGTTTCTGTTATTTCTGCATAAAAGAGGCAGGGTGTTCTGCTTAATGGCAAAAGTTTTATGTTGGCAGCATGTTGGAAGTGCTTGTCTAAGGTAGCTTGGGAAAGTCTGAAGTATTAACAAGACTCRTGAACTTCATGAACAACAGCTGTTGCATATTGAAATCTCACTACATCATATTTAAGCTTATTTAATGTAAGCTGTTCTGAGTTCCAGCCTTGTATTTTAAATGTGCAGAACGTTCTAGTATTTTTTAATCTATTTTGACCAAAACACAAAGTGACTTTAGAAGAGGCTTAAATTAAATTATTACTTTTCCTCTGAAGTAATTTAGCTGGCGGAGTTAACGTTTATACCTGACTCTTATCTAATGCTGAGACTGCTGTTAAAGATTTGCTTCTTTCTTAGTAGTATATCTTGTACTAATTAAGCTGAAGCAGTTAAACTTGTAGTTATTAGGTGCCTTCCACGTGATTATTTTAAGCTCTCAGAAGTGGTAGATATACACTGTGCAAAACTTTAGGTATGAAAATGGTGGGTTAAAGCAGTTATTCTGCTCACCTGCATTGCATCAAATTTAGGATTTATTTCATTGTTATTTCRTTGTGCAGTTTTTATTGCTCTCACTGATAGTGAGAGGTCTGGATAATGTCTTTTTGCGTGCGAGTTTCCTGGATTGTTGTAGGAATTGTGCAGTCTGTCTCTATATATTTTTGTCTGTAATTTATCATTTGAATAGCTTTTGTGCTTCTGTAGTGTACCAAGGAGGGGGAAGACAGACTTCTGTTTCTAGTTTGCTACCCTTTTCTTAGTGGCGTYTCAACCATTTTAGGCCAACAAAGCTGATGAGAAGCAGCTGATGATGTAAACACATTTCTGCTCCCCACCCTTTGCTTTTCTGTTTAGATGATCTTAAATAACTTAATCTAAGTCAGTAGTAGAAGCTGCACCATAAGACTTGGCAGAACTGGAGCTATCCCCTTATTTTCCAAGGATTTGGAATTGAGGCCTGTCTTAAACACTAGTTGGGAATGGCTTTCTTTTATGATAGTCCTTCTTTTTAGAAAGCTGCTTTTTTAAATACGTTACATGCTTGTTGACACAGTTGAACATAAGCTTAGAATAGGTGCATCTTTGATATTCTTGTTCGCCAAGACAGTCTCTGGCCAAAAGAAGAGCTTGCACTGATCAGATATGTCCAGTACATGTAGTAGGTGGGTTGTTTATTTTAATGCTCCTGTGTGAAACTTGCAATTCTGGGGGTTTGTGCAGTTCCTAAGTTCCAGCTTCCCTGGAAACTGCCATGGCTGGTATCCCAATTAGGTAATGGAAATCCTGGTGTACTCATTTACTATAAAATTACTGCATTTTTTTTTCCCCCTTATTAAGGGGTGAAATTTAGGGCTGATTACCTTATAATCTAATGTGCAGTCAGGACCTTAAAGAAAGAGGCGACTTAAGTACCTTATATCCTTAACCAACTCAAATACGTGCTTTWAACAAGTGCAGTGTCTTTAATGAACAAAGTGGCACATTGTATGAGGAGAGCTGCAGAGATGTAGCTGCCCAAGGTTCACTGCAATGAATCCATATGGAACAACAGAGCGAGAGAGGCAGTGCTTTTCAGACACTGTTGAAGAGAGCTCTCTCTGATTTAATTCCYCACTGATTGATATGTCCTGAAGCAGGGGCTGTAATTGGGCACTATGTCACATTAAGCAACCGCATGATTTGAGGAATCCATTTCTCCTAATGCTCATCACTGCTGGGAAGACTGTTCAGCATCTGTGTGATGGGCTCCTTAATGGGGGCTGTCAGCATCATTAGAGCATGTGGTGTCTCTAATCCAGTGATGTGATATGTGCATAGACCTGCTCTGCAGGGACTCTTCTCTCTGTCCTTCTCCCTCAAGTATTCTAGAAATGCTTTTAAATAACCACCACTTTAGCGGTTCTGGGTCCTCGTCCCTCAGTCATTTCACAGTCTGTAAGCGTCAAATTAATTTAGTTTGTCTTTAAACAACCCAAGCAACTTTTCATGGGAGAGATCCAGGCTTTGACGTGTGCATGTTGTTCGTAGTGGGGACATTTCATTCCCAGCTCTTCCCTTCTTCCCACCCTCCTCTTGTCACTGCTGTAATAGCTACTCTGAAACTGGTTACGTGTAGCCTGATCACATGTATGGCAGGAGATGAAGGCATTTCAGGAGATTTATTTTAACTGGTGGCTATTGAAAGTCAAATGAGAACTTCATGCCTGTATTGGGTTCAGTGATGGTCTCGTTTGAGGTTCCTTGGTCCTCAAATAGAGGACTGTCCTGCTTCTCTCAGCTCCTCGCTTGGCCTGYGCAGCTGAGTGGTTGTCAGGTCAGTGGTGAGGTGCTGGGGGCCATCCTGTTCATCCTCCTTCTCTGTGCAGTAGAGTCCTTGTTGCTGTGACACGGTCTCTGTGCCAGGAGCACTCAGGACCCTGCAGCTGAGTTCCTGGCTTGTTTGGAGCCCCTTAGCCTCCAGCCTCAGATTTGTGTGCTATGAAGAGCAGCTTTTGCACACTCGGGTGCTGCCTTTTCTAAATCAGTTGCTCTGTGTCATGCCAATGCAGCAAAAAGGTGCTGCACTCAGATATCCCCTTTGGTAGCAGGGGGAGTRGAGTGACTTGAGTGATACCAGTTCTGCAGAGCGGATAGGAGTGAATGGTCAGGGCACCTGAGGCCATCTGCATCCGTCCTGGGCATTTGCTCTACGTGTTTGCCTGGCTGTGCAGTTTTAGGAAGCTGYTGTGATGTGGTGAAGTGACAGGTGGACCCTTGTTTTCCTGCCCACGTGTTCACACGCTGCTTCAGGGCTTGTGGATGCTAAAATGGCTCATAACTTTTGCATACTCAGAGTTGATCCCCTCTTCAGAGGATTAGCTGGAATTAATAAGCTCAATAAAGCAGCAGAGCAAAGTTACCCGCTCTGAGTTCCCATTACCATAGACTTGTTCCCTTCAGTATCTTCCAAGTCTGGAAATCAAAAGCAACAGTGATAAGGCAGCAGTGATTCATTAGCTGGCTTTCAGTAAGGCTTGGGGGAAAAAGTCCTTTAGGTTTCCAAAGATCAATAACTAATGTAACATATTGTGTAATGTACCAGGCCTAAGCAAATATTGCTTGGGCCTACAAACATAGTAGCCAAATTAGTATTAAAAATGTTAACTGACTGTAGACTTTTTTGTTGTTTTTTTTTTCTGCTAGCTGGCAGGTAGATGAACAGCAAGGTGCTTCTCACAGAGGCCCCYAAATAGCCTCTTGGCTGATTGAGTTTGGAAGACATTGCTTGATACTAAACCCTCTTTGGAAAGGAGGTGCTGAAATGTGGATAGCATTATTTTGCTATTAATATGTTTTGCTATTAATGTGTAGTTTAAAATAGAGTAGCTTGCAGTCAGAGTGCCTGGTCACCCCTCAGATTTTAATACAGGATTGCCAGCCAAATCAAGACACTTGTTCATGGGGGTTATTTTATTTCAGCAGTCAAGTTACATCTGAGACTTTATTCAGCATCAGACTCTTACACTAAAGCCAAATCCCCGTGGATGCTAGACTTGCACATTTGCTTTCACAGGATCTGTATACTCTGCTTTTCATGTCCCTGGAGGAAATTAGTGGTGTCCTSGTCGTGCAGTGTTCCTTTAGCTGAGGTCAGTGTGCAAGACAGTAAATTCAGTTTGTCTCTACTGCATCCTGGAGAGGGGGATATAAATTACTGTTTGGCAAATGATATCTGTGAATTTGTGTTGTCCCTTATGCTACTGAAGTCTGGAGTAAGTCACCTCTGGTAATTGAGGCTCTAGGTAACTGTTGATGCGCGACAACAAAATCCAGTCAGTTTGCTGGCATAAGGAAGTTACCTCCTCTTTGTCAAAATTAAACAAATACAAATATTGAAAAAAGACCTAACTAGAAGAAATAAGAATTTTGAGGAGTTTGGGGACAGACCTAGAAGCTTTGCCCCTGCTTTGTCTCTGCCACAGTAGTTGAGGACAGGCGGCCGGAGGATGTACATGCAGAGCCATCTTCTCTGGGCATATTGGAGACATCTGTGGACATGATCCTGTGCAGTGTGCTCCAGGTGACCCTGCTCGAGCAGAGGATTGAGCTAAATGATCTACGAATGAGTCTGGTCCAACCTCACCTGCTCTGCATCCCTGTGGCTTTGCCTTTGCCAGCTGGCACGAGCGCTCTTTGTGAGGCACTTTTGCCGGCCTCATTTCTCTGCTGCTTTTGGAGCTGCACAGCCTCAGTCCCGTGGGAGCAGCCTTTGCCAAAGCCAGTTCTCGGACTTAGTGTCATGTTTCTGGAAATAACACTGTGTTGAGAGAGGTGATCAGGTGTGTTGAGATCCCGGTGAACACTGAGCAAAACGGCACAAGGATTTACGGCTAAGGAATGGTGGAGTTGCCCAGTGTGACTCACTTGCAGTAGCTTCCTGTCAGCTTGTGGTGTTTGGACAGGTTTGTACCAGGGTAGTCTTCTTATGAGAGCTTTGGTTTTATCAGTGTGTTGAATCCCCATTAGCCATTAGGATTGATTTGCCTGTTTTTTTAGTGTTGAAAGGGACATATGCCCAGTTGCAGGGGCTCCCCAAAAATACTTGAAATTGACTCTTCTTGCCCCTTACCATTCCTGAATGTGTTAGCTGCTGGTGGGAAGAATCAGAGCTAGAAAACTGTGTAATCCTCACCTTTTGACACCTTTTCTTTAAAATAAGCTTTGCAGTTGGATCTTCAATGGAAACATTGAGGATAAAGGCTAAGACCTCACTTGGGGAATGATTGATGTGAATGTTAGTTCTGTCCCAAATTAGCTCCTGAAGCAAAAGGCAGCTCTGATTCGTGGTCATGTGCAGTGTCGAAGTAGGACTCACAAATTCAGTTATTTAAAGAACTGAGCTGTGGTGTTTGGAGGAGGAGATCTTGCGACGCGCAGCGAAAGCAGCGGGTGTGTTGCTGACCATACCACARACCTCCTGGAGCAGAGTATTAGCCGATCAGTCAGCTAAAACACTAGCCACTTGTGTAAAGCTGTTCCCTCCAGACAGGCCTGCTTGGTGGCTAAAAGCTGTGTAGATGCCCATTCCCACACTTAACATCTTAGCCTTGCGGTATTTGCTTTGATTGCTCAGAATAAAGAAGTTATTGGTAAAATTGCATGGGCAGTGCATGCTGGCTCTTGTTGGTCTTGCTTGTTCTCATGTGTACCAAGAAGCTTCTGCACTTTGGCCAAGTTCTTCTCACGTGGTACCAATCCGTGGGTTGTCCAGTGTATCTAGACAAGTGCAGTGCTGGCTGACTGCACACTCGGTACCATGGAATATCTTTTAGATCAAGACAGATTAAACTGAAGAGGATCAGTGTGGTATTTCCAGTAGGAAGAGCTTTTCTTAATTCCAGGGAAGGCAGAAGGTGCTTAATTGGGGCTTGGAAGGAATGGGCTCAGTAAGCTGAAAAATCTAGGAGTCCTTCTATGCTCTCCATACCTACCCAGTAGTTCTTGGCTTCTGTCATTTAGATTCAGATCCTGCACCAAGTTACCTGTTTTCTCAGTTGTTTCTTGGAGCTATAAAATGAGTTTGTTTATGTAATTTAGGAASAGCAAAAGTAGAAAAAGTATCTGAACTGACCCTTAATCTAGAGTTAAGGCTCTAGCACTGTGGAGAATTTTGCTGTGCTGCACATAAAAAGAAAGAAAAGAAAAAAAGTTATTAAAGCTGTTTAAAAATATTTTTCAGGTTCTAAATGGCTTCTAAGAAACTGGGATCCGATTCTCATGGTAAGTGAAACTTGGTATCCATTTTCTATTCAAAAGGATGAACCTGAGTATTATATTGCTGTTTACTCATGTCCCAGGGCCACAGAGTAACAGAGACAACTCTCTTCGTTCCTCACATACTGCTTGGAGGCTGAACTGCCTTGACTTCCTATTTTTTGTGGTTGCTGCAGTGCTGGTGCCGTGGCCGTGCTCCCATTAGGCTGCACRGCCTGTGGCAAAGCAGCATCTCCCCCTGCCCCCTCCAAAGTCAAAGCTGAACTGCAGCTGTGATACCCATCTGATGTTTATTGAGGCAGACGTGAGATTTGCGGTTCCTTTCTATTGGAAGTCGAGTGAGAAACTGGATTAGTGGGAAGCTTGCATTTTATCCCTGAGTCATGCTTGCTTTTTGCTTAGCAGTGATTTTTCTGCAAGTTTGGACTGTATCTCAGTGGCTAGACTGGGTCTGAGTAGTTTGCAGTTAGGTGGGTGAAGGAGAGAACTTCCTTGGGGTTTAATTCTTCCAGCATTTGGGATGTGCAACTTCCTGCAGAGAGTTGTTGCCAGAAGAATTGCTCATCTCTCTACCATTATCTTTCAGAAAATAGAGTGTAAATCTGGGGGGGCCAATATTTCTGTGGAACACTGAAGTGATTTATTGCACATAGGTAATGCAGCCTCTTCAAATCACTTATTTAAGGCTCAATTGGTAGGTTCGTGTGAAATTCCTAATGTGATTGTTAATGCCACAGGGATTTCTGCTTTTAGAAACTTGGACTTGATCTGTTTGGATTATCTTTCAGATAAGGGAGTCCCACAGCATTCTCTTTGCCCTGGGCTTTGTTATTCAGGGTTTTTAATTCATTTTTGCAAGTGTAAAGCACTTTTAAGTGTAARCTACATAGAGTAAGGAGCACTTAAATTAAGCATGTGGCCAAGAATYAATAAAAATGGTCCATGAAAACTTGATTTTTAGATGGCCTCCTGTGTTCTGGACCAGTAGTCCTGTGGCAGGAACAAGTCCCTAGGTGTCTGCCAGCTGTTAGGCAGTTGCTCTCCTGCGTGTGCGTGGTCTCTGTGAATGCTCTAAACTGTTTGTCTTGGAGCCTGTTTTCTCTGTTCCTAGTGATATCAGCAGAGCCGTCGCTAGCAGGACTGTTTGCTAGCAGCAGTGAAGCAACCTCCTGGGCTTGTTATGTCTCAAAATGATGAGGACAATTTTTCAAGCTCCTTCAGGATCTATGGGAATCAATGCCACTAACTGAAATTCAGCTTAATGTRAAGTATGTGGCCCAGTAGCTACCTTCTAGCTTAGTGGCCCTGACAGGCTGATGGAAGGGGGTTGCCATAGCTAAAATATTCCTCACACTTGCTGTTGAGCTACTTGCTGGGTTGCTGTTGAGGTGAACACAGGAGCTGCAGCTGGGGAGGAAGGAGGGAACTCCTTCCTGTCTTGGAGGGTGAACTTAGCTTATATCTCAGCTTCGAGTGCTGGCCTGGCACTTGAATAACAGGAAGTTCAGGACTCAGCTGTGATAATCAGAGGCATCTAGAAATGCAGCTTTCWTCTGGTGTGCAAAGGGTCTGTGAAGTGCAGTGTGATATTGCTGTTGTATCGTCACTACTGTTGTACAGTTTGAAAGCTTTTGATCCCAATTTCTGGAGGTTAAAMGTTTCAAACTGTTACCTGGTTATGATTGGTAACTGTCTTGATCTGAACTATTTTCATCATGCTGTCTAAATGGAGAGTGTGTCTACAAGGTGGCTGGTGATTACTGCATTACACTAAAGTGAAGAGAAATGTAATCTCCCCTCGTTATTTCTTGGGCCCGGAGTATCATGCACTGCGTGAAATCATAGATCAGTTTGGCAGGTACAGTTTTGCCAGGGCTATTCTAAGACCTTCCACAATATGCTTTTAAGTCCATAAAAAAGATGAAGTAGCTAATAGCCATATTAAGTAGCAGGATTTTTTGAGCTATAATTGCTTCATTTGAACATGTGACCAGTAAAACACTGGTTTGCATGATACTCTRTAAGTGGGATTTTTTTAAACAGCAAATTCTCTAAAGCAATAAAGTGAAACTTGTGCCCTTCCCCATCATATTTGTGCAGGCAGAAATGTTATCCCTCTATAAAAAATAAAAACTAATAGATTGATTACTTTCTTGGATTAGATTTTAAGTTTAACTAGTATTCTTTTGGTTAGGTTGGAACAAAAAGGATGTTCAGAAGAGCTTTTTAGCRGTGTGCTTGCTGCTTTTGCAGCAGAGTTTTCTTCAAGACAAGGTTATAGCAGGAGTCATTATCAAAAAATTATCTTCCTGGGAAGCAACTGTAGTCTCTTTTTTAGCCTGTGTTAAACTGAGGTTAAATTGGCAGCTATCAATTCAGCCCGTCTAGTCCAGAGCTTGTGTGCGTGTCCCCTCAGGGGTTAGTGTCCCCCAAGATGAACAAGAAAACTGGGTAGGGTGAGGTGCTTTCCTCCTCATCTCGTAGATCTAGCAAGACATGTTCTTGTGTACTGAGCCCATCAGGCTCTTCTGAGACTAGTGGGGAGAGAAGATCCTCTTTCACTCGCATTTTTTTGATGGTCCTGGTTACATCCAGGCTAGGACCAAGCAGGCTATAGGAAGAGCAGCTGGGCTGGACACCTCCAGGCAGTCAAGAGCTCAGCTCATCTCTGGGCTGTGAGGTGCCAGACTGACACATTTGCTATCTCTGCATAAGCAAACACCTTGAAATTACCCAAGTATTCTTAAATTGCCAGCTCAGGTGCAGTTTGTTTGGATGTTGTGTTGTAATAGTGGTGCTGGCTGCTGGTGAGCTCAGCTGATGACAACACATGAGTGTTTAACACCAAACTAATAAGATGTTCCTGTTTTTGAAAGCTGCTCTTCCTCTTGGAGCTTGTGGCTGCATTACTGTAGGTGAGTCAACAGCAAAAGAACACAAATAATATTTAAACTGTTGCTCAAGTATRAAAATAGGTCAGTTTAAAATGACCATCGTAGTTCACAGAGGAAGAGGTTAGTCACTGAGCAACAGCGAAGACATTGCCACTCATTTCTTGCTGGATCTGGAACAACCAAAGAGAAGTAGCACATGAGGACTTGAGGAATACCTCAAGCTGTTACACACAGCTAGAAATCTCACGTGTAACTATGAAAGCTTCAACTAGTGACCCAAGAGACACCTTTCAAGTTAAGCTCAAATGAGGGGACATTCGTATGGTGGGCTTTCTAGTTCTTTTTCACAGAGTTTTAAGAGAAAACAAGCCTATAGGCTTATTGGAGGTAACTGAATTCTTGTGATTCTTGTGAGCTTGCAGGATGCCTGAAGAGATAGTTTCTTTTTAACTTTAAATGCCCCGTGGATGTCATGGATACAAAGGACAGATAGAGGACCCTGAAATAAGTCTGTGGCCCCTTATCAGAGTGGTTGCAAACAAGATAGCTGGTTGTTAGATTTTTTGTGTGTGTGCTTTTTTTGTGTGTGTGTGTGGGGGGGGTTGTTTTGTTTTTTTCTCCAGAAATCTGAATTGTTAAGTTAAATAGCCCTAAATTGTTTCACTGTGTTTGAGTTTAAAGTGGGGCTTGTTTTGACCCACTTTGCCCCCTTGCAATCACTTTTGACCAAATATTATTTTACACATATGGGGAGAAGATGGATTTTAGCCTGTTTGCTCTGCGAGAGGTGGGTTGGTTTTAGGCTCTGCGAGAGGTGGGTTGGTTTTAGGCTCTGCGAGAGGTGGGTTGGTTTTAGGC